CCATGTCTGGTAGGTCTGTGCCACTCCTTGAGGGAAGATTTTCATGTTTCTGTCTCCCACGAGAAGAATCCTATTGACTGTTGGCTGAGTGGAGGCACAATGGATGTTTTAATATCCTGGAAACCTCATAAATAATGAGTGGGACACCGTTTCCCTATGGTTGTCCTTTTGACTATTTGGGATCGAGGTGACCAGTCTCTGGTTGACCATCACTGATGGTTTTGTGTTATTAAACTCATTACTGAGAACCTGGATGAAGGATTTCAAGAGGTGTTGATGCTTATTGAGAAAATCACCTGGTTTAATGAGAATAGAGCTGGAAGGAAAAAAATGGGTTGACCTTCCTATCGGTCCTTGTTTAGATGTGAGCATTGCTAAGGAAGGTATAGTAAGTAATACCTTATTGCAAACATGACTTTCTGACCTATTTTTTCTTTCTACTCATTGTTTCATATATCACTGGAGACACTTTCCTGGGGATAAAAATAATTTGTATGAAGGCATTTCTATCCTTTGTAAATTGTTGATCAGGTTACAGTAAATAATAGCAGGGAAAGTTAGCAACTCTAATGTTTTCTCTAATGTTCCACTCTAATGTTTTCCAGGCTGCAAGAAATTGCCTAGTGAACGAGGCTGGTGTTGTGAAAGTGTGTGATTTTGGAATGGCCAGGTATGGTTGAGTACATGCGCTTGGAGGTGATGTTCACACACACATTGTTGTGTAGAATTAATAAGTGTGGCAATTAATAAAGAAATCATATCAACAGTTCTGAGGCAGAAGTATTAACCATACATTTCGGTGTTAATAATTCTCTCCACTGGGTGGTAGTATAGCCTGCTAAATATACAACTTTTTGCTCCACAGTGTGGGTTGTATTTTTGAACCTTTGTTTTTACAAGACATTGTTTGGTGGTCAAATGCACAGTGTAACCACATCTGCAGTGTTTTGTTCACTTAAATTTCATAGGTTTAGTAGAGTATTAGAAAAGACCTTAATAAATATTTAGTTTGTCTCTTTCCCTCTGTCCATTTCTCCACACATAAAAATTAGGTGCCTGCTTACATGCCAGGCACAACCACATGAACCAGGGCAGAGATGGAGCTGTGTGTGCCCCATGCATAGGCACCGTATGGTGTGGAGGGAGGAGAAACATGAGACCTGCAAATAAATGGACGTGTCAGAGAAGGGGCCAGCTAGCAAATGGTAGCCTGTATATCTGACCTACCCCTCTTTTTGCTCACCTTTTGCATTTTTAAATGGTTGAAGACAATTCAAAGACCATTAGGCTGAAAATTATCTGAAATTCCAAAGTCAGTGTTGATAAAAGTAGTGTTATTGAGATCTACTTTTGAGTATTTGCCAATGTGTGGTCTGTGGCTGCACTCACACTACAGGTGCAGTTGAGGCTTGTCACGGGGCTGTGTGGCCTATGGGATCTGAATGACTGTACCTAGTATCTGGCCCTTTCCAGAAAAATATCTGCCCTCTGCCCATCTCTGTGAGAGAGACAGCTTAGGGTGAGGCAGGAGTGATAGCTGCTCCTTAAGTTTAGAGGCCAGGAAGACCCTCTGAGATAAGAACATTAAAGAGAGATCCAAAGGCAGAATGATCAATCAGGTGAAAACCTAGGCATGAGGTATTCCAGGTGGAAGGAGCAACAAGGGCAAAGCTTGCTGTCTGGGATACATTTGGGCTGCTCAGGGAACTGGAAGAATCCCAGGCAGCTGCCTCACGGGCATTGTTGGGAACAGTGAAAATGGCAGTCAAGGACCGGGTCCTGTGAAGCCAAGTTCAGGGTAGTGAGGGCAGGGGGCTGTCACTGTCAGCCTAGAGGTGTTAACTACCTGTAGAGGTATTAACTACTCTCATATAAAGCATTCAGTATCTGATGGGCAGTCTTCCATTTTCATATGTTCCTTCTGATATTTTAGCAATTTTTTGTTTTCATATCAATCACTGTGAAACACTCTGTGTGTAGTAACTTCAGACTTCCCTGACTGACAGCAATTTGACCCAGCCCATGGGAGCATTGTGTGCCAGTGACCATCTTTGTCAGTTACAAATACAATAAAGGAAGTTTGTGCATTTATTTGAATATTTTCTCCTGACAACTTTTAGGACTTATTTGCACATGTAATAATAGATACGTTCACCTTATAAATATGTATGGAACACATTACAGAAAGGACTGAAGGCTTCACATCTACCACTCCTAAGCAGAAATTCTCCCCAGAAAGCGCTACTGTTACTAGATCCTGTGTATCCTTCCAGAAGGACTTGAGTGTGTGCATATAAAAAGATGACATAGTATAGTTCTGAATGTATGTAGTGGGTGAAGACATCATGCTATATAAATATGAACACCACCATTTACATACTTCATTTTGCCTTTTTAATTTGTTTTTTTCCCCATATACTGTAGTTTAAGTTGTGCTCTTCGGAGTCATGGGGTGCTCAAAGCACGTATGTCTGTGCACCCCGTTCACCACTTCCTTTAGGGCGGCTTTCCTTTCGTATATGGGCCTTTGGGTAAGGTTTTGGTTAAGAGTAAAGCAGCTTTTAAAAAAAGTTTGAAAACTGTTTTATTGTATTCTGCCCCTACTGCCTAATAAATTAAAAAGATGAACACAAAAATGAAAGTGTGAGTGGTAAGGTTGTGATATATCCCTCCAGTGCCCCTAAATTATGCTGAGAGGAAGATGATTATAAGCACCAGGTGTGGTCACTGAGGTGGACTTGAGCTTCAGCTGGATGCTGGCGGGACTTTAGTCCACTGTGTTTTTGATTGTAAGGGTAAAAATGAAAGCACGTCTGGAAGATATAGATGGTACTTCAGAAGCGCAAACACATGGTGTATCTCCCTTCAGGTATGTTCTGGACGATCAGTACACAAGTTCTTCTGGTGCTAAATTCCCTGTGAAGTGGTGTCCGCCTGAAGTGTTTAATTACAGCCGGTTTAGCAGCAAATCAGATGTCTGGTCCTTTGGTAAGCTCTGCGCTTCACAGTCCCTCAGCTCTGCTTTGTGGAGGAAACTGGCACATCGTTTGGTAACCCTTGCCTTTTTTTCAGGTGTTCTAATGTGGGAAGTATTCACTGAAGGCAGAATGCCCTTTGAGAAAAGCACGAATTATGAAGTGGTAACCATGGTTACGCGAGGCCACCGACTCCCCCGGCCAAAGCTGGCGTCCAAATACGTGTATGAGGTGATGCTGAGATGCTGGCAGGAGGTATAGATATTTCTCTTTCTCATGAGTATCCAAAACATGTAGGAGTTGGGCTTGGTGGGTAGATAACATATAGCCTTTGTATCCTAGAAAGGTGGTGTGTGTTTCATAGTGATTTCAAGCTGCAGGTGGGAAGCCAGCACCCTCAAGCCAGTTCAGAGTACTGAAAAGAACTGGAAAGTGCTAACAATAAATTTCATACACTCAGGCTGCTCCCTTACTCCTAAATGGCAGTCTTTCCCCTCTTGGCTGAGCCAAGGTCTAGGCAATCGGCCTGGAGAAGTTGCTCTTTTCCTTCCTTGAGTCATTTGTGGAGTGAAATCTCATTCATTTCCCAAGGAGAATGTTTCCCCCAAACTTCAACTTTCCAAGATCTCTTTACTCAGCCTCTGGAAATTCTGGAGTGTCACTTCGTGGAAGACCTTAGTCACCAAAACAACTCTTAAAAAACAATGACATTAACTTATATGTATTGTGTACTAGGCCCTGTACTGAGTGTTTTAGATTTAGTTCTCAAAACAGCCTTTTCAGGTGTAGAAGCTTTTACAGTGAGTGTTTGGTAGATGAGAAGATTAAGGCTTAGGAGGTTGATGCTTGCCTGAGCCAGTTAGCTACAGAACAGGAGGTGCTTGTCTGGCCCTACAGCCCAGCCTCACCTTCACTTGCTGTAAAACCTCCTGTGTCCCAAGGGCACCGATTGGAATGGGCAGAGACAGTCTGGGCAGGAAGTGGTATTGGGGGCAAAAGGAGAACAGCACAAAGGTAAGGAGGAGGTTATAAACATGGTGGGAACTCGAGGGTGGAGATTGGTCTGATAGAGAAGAGAGCCCACGTGAAGCTTTTGTGGGAAATGAAACTAGAAAACAAAGGATGCGGGGAAGGGCAGGTTACAGTGCCCCGCACATGAACGGGACCTGATCTCACAGGCACCAAGGAGCTCTGGGAGATCTTTGAGCAGGGACAGGAAAGCGTTGTCTTGGAGATACTCCTCTAGCAGCAGCACCGAATGGTAATTAGAGCAGAGACAGAGGCCAGCCTCTCCCGGCCCCAAAGCTGTGGTCGCCTCTCTGCAGTTCGTGTTACAGGAGCTGGAGCAATGAGACCTTTCTCTGGAGTGAATTCTGGCGCCATCAGTTTTTCTTTTTTAATTGTAGAAGCCAGAGGTAAGGCCTTCCTTTGAAGATTTGCTGCGCACGATCGATGAACTAGTTGAATGTGAAGAAACTTTTGGAAGATGAATGGTTCCGTGACCAGCGGCTTCCAGATCCCGAAGCCTGAGGAGGAAATAGCAATTGTGGCTGAATTAATTTGGCACCTGGATGTGTGGACTGGTTAACTTACAAAATCAAACACCTATGCGCTTGCTTCTAGAGCAGCCTTAGCTCTGTGACTGAGCGAGCCTTCCACACTGGAAATGTTACCTCGGAGCTGGTGACCAAAAACATTCACCCTCGTCATTCCTCAGCAACCTGAGTGCTGACAGCGTGCCGGGCACTTTGCCCGCTTTGGGGTACTCATGGGACTATGTTAGCTGGTGCCAGTAGAAGGCCTGGTATCGGGGAAGGGGGGGCACCGGAGCTGTTGTAGGCCCCTTCTCTTCCCTTCGACTTCTACAGAAATCTGCGCCTGGGGCACTGTCTGAATCAGGAATCTACCCTAGATAAGTACCCAACTTTTGTTTTGAAGACATCCCTGTTTCAAGACTGTTAGTATTACATTTATAATATTTGTATGCTGTATATTTTGTAAATACATATAATATGTAAAGTTATATATTTATAAGAAACACGAGTTATCTTTCAATTGAATCCGTAATTTTTATATATTTATAAGAAACATAAGTTGTATGTTAATTTTGTAATATTTCCAACTCACATTCTTAGGATTAGAAACTCCAAGAACTGCAGAGCTCCTTTCTTGTGGATCAAATATTCCTTACCCGAGAGAGGAAAGTGGGTCCTTTTTAAACTCCCTTTTACTTAGGTAGTCTTGTCTGGGCCCCATATCATGGTTACTTGAACCTGTCCACCGTGGGCACAGCTACTTGGAATCAGGTGAAAATACAAAAGAGGAATCAGTTGGTTCCTAAATCTTAAGATTTGCTCCAGGGTCCTGATACTCTGGAGGTGCAGGGCCCGGGAGCAGAAGGATCAGGTGATGTTAACAAAGAACACCACCCTCCTCCAGCAGGCCCCCAGGAGTAGCTTGAGCTCCGGCAGAGGAAAGGCAGCTGCCGAGGGAGATGGAGGTGGTGTTCTGAGCGGTGTCCCAGATATTTCTAAGGGGTCTGGTTGGACTTGGCTTCCCATCTCAGCGAGACTGTTACAGCCTACCATAAACCCTGCTGCCCCTTTTGTCTGAGGGGGGCTCTGACCCTTAACTACCTCTAAGACGCTAACTGAACTGGAGCCTGCCTTTGTTCTCATGAGCGCCCGGAAAGGATACTGCCTCATTCACCAGTAGCAGAGACCACGGGAACACATTCTTGGTCTTCGTGGGAGTAGAAAGCTGAGGAAGACAAGGGACCTCCTTCAGGAATTCCGTTCCCACCAGGACTGCCATTGTCTCTCCTGCACTGTGAGGCATTTGGTGAACACGTGGACCAGAGCTGCTCTGAGATCTTCACTCTGATCCCAGAGAGAGAGATCTTTGCAGTCTGGAGTCTGTGTGCCTGGGAGTCCATCTACTGAAGGCTGTGTCCATTGCGTTCTTGGTTCTTTTTTTTTTCTTAAGGAAGAGAAGTCACAATTTGCCACATTCCCCTTCTCTTCCTGTTTAACAAAATAACAAAATCATACATACCTTGTAAGTGACCTGTATCTCATCCAGGAAGGAGGGCGCTAAAGAAGCTGGAACTTACTATCCTGCCGTACTCCACCCCTTCCCTTCCTTAGTCTTTTCACCTGAGGAGCATGGGAAGGAGGAGGCTTGGTGGAGCGAGGAGAAGTTACAGTTCCTACCCTGTCATCAATGCTTCTGATAGGAAAACAAGAAAGATAATACTCGGCAACTTTTGGGAGCATTTTCTTTAAAAATCTTTAAATATTCCTCCCTAAAACTTAAAGTTTTATAGCTAAGGCAAAAGATGTCATAAAAAAAAATAGAAATACCCACCCAGAATGTAAAAAAGGTTTTAATCTTTAAGGCAGGAAATAGCAAGGGAAATGTGAATCCGCTGTCTTCATTAAAGTTGCACCCTTCATGGGTTAGTGTTTGGTTGTGTTTTCCAGTGGGATGAAGTGAAACTCTGTAGTACATTTTGCATTGTTGATATTGTTTTCATATTTCTCAGCAGTTCCTGAGTCACCTTGTAAGAGTAGTCAGTTTTTAAGTCTATCATTGGATTGTCTCCCATCCCCAAATAAGGTCCCTGCAATGTCAGTCCTGAGTCCTGGGACAGAACTTGATATTCTAAAACCTAGAATCCAGTTGTTTTTACCACCAGTCATGTAACTTTGGGCTAGGTCCCTTATCCTATCTGTTCCTTTATTTCATTGTCTCTCCAGAAAGGGCAGTCTGACTTGATGTTTTCAGGCCCCTTTTACAAAAAGTTTGTAATTTCTTGAAAATGTTGTTTGTAGTCTCCACCCACACATATAGGAAGGAGGAAATAATAGCAACCCCCCCAGGATGCAAATGATTAAACTTTCTTCTGTAGGCCACGAGTTTATCATTCACATGCTTTGAGGTTTTAGAATAGGAAAATAGGAGGGGTTAACTTTGCCTGTGAGAAATGTCTTGGGCGAACGACGATTTCAGTTAAAAGATGTGTTTTTGTGAGTGGAGCCTGGCTGAAGAAATGAAGACTGCCTTGTGTGTCCCTGCAGAAAGGCAGCCATGATTCTGTCCACCTGTAAGTAACATGGGCCTGGTAACGTGTTTTCATGGCTTGTTCTGGGTGCATTTTTGTATGTAAGAGGACATTTTGTCTAGGCTGGCATAGCACACTAGTGGAACTCTGAAGACAGTGATAGGGTTTTGTTTATTTAGATAACTACTGTGGTGATGAAATGCTAGTAAATTTTCAGCAATGAGAACACAAATGAAAATAGATATCATATCCTTATATCTGTAACATGTGTTGAAGTACAGTTAGTGTTAAGTGTTTGTTTTTATACTCTTTTTTTTTTTTTTTTTTTTTTTTTTTTTTTTTTTTTTTTTTTTTTTTTTTTTTTTTTTTTTTTTTTTTTTTTTTTTTTTTTTTTTTTTTTTTTTTTTTTTTTTTTTTTTTTTTTTTTTTTTTTTTTTTTTTTTTTTTTTTTTTTTTTTTTTTTTTTTTTTTGCTCGCTCTCTTTTTTTTTGGTACTGGGGATTGAACTCCAGCCTGTGTGATTTTGAAGCAGGTGGCAGAACCACTGAGCCAAATCCCTGGCAAAGTGTTTGTTTTTAAAATGTTATTAAGTGTACAGAACTTAGGGTTACAGGCCAGGAGACTGAGTGCTAGTTCTGGCTTTGTTACATCCTTAGTGGTCGCTGCCAGCCACTTCTTTATGTCAATTTCCTGTCTAAAATGAGGACTGCATTTTATCCACTTTCTCCCAAGATATCTCAGAGAAAGCACAGATAAAAATGACTGATGCAGCATGAACTTAATTTTACTGTTGCTTTGGAAGACTAGTCAGTACATTTTACAATTCTTGGAAATGCTTATTTTATCTATAAAACTCAGAGGACTTAATTGTGCACATAGTCAAAAATAGGGAAGAGGGCCAGGGATTTAGCTTGGTGGTTTTGCCACCTGCCTTGCAAGCTCAAGGTCCTGAGTTCAATCCCCGATACAAAAAAAGGGGGGGGGTGTTAGAAAAATGTTGTCTGTAGTTTGAATTCTCAGTGTCTCTGGAATCTTTATCAAAGTTCAGTCAAATCAGATTAGGCCAGCTATCTAAGTCAAGTTTTTACATTCCTCATTTTTAGGTGGCAATAGGAACATTGCCATTGTTGGTAGTATTTATAAAAAATAAACCATGCTATTTCAGTTGTGCCTGCCCAGGTGTAACTTACAGCTCTAATCTACTCAGATAAAAGGCTCCTTGCTGGCAAAAATAGAGGCCAAGCAGATCAAAGTAGAAAAAGCTAAAAAGCAACAACATGTGTCTGCACCTCCCCTGCTGGCAGGACAGAGCTGAACAGTGACATAATAAATATTAAAAGCTGTGAAAGCATTGGTCCATTTCCTCAAAGGAGAGAATGCGAGAAAAGGCTGAAAATCATAACAGGAAACGTATAGATATATAGATATAGATATATATTATATATTATATAATAATAATAATAATACTTTTTAGGGCTGAGGGAAGCCTTAGACTGCCTGGGGGATGAAGTAAGAGGCTACCTATGGGAGATCTATTTTGAGGAACATTCTCTCTGGCAGAAAAAGGGATGGTTTTGATGCAATGTCTTCCAGCTGATAATGTGAGTTGATGGGTGGAGTCACCTGTTTCCTTCTGCCCTAAACTGCATTGGGACCCAAGTCCATTTTCTTCTGGGTAAGATAATGAGTGTTTGCAGTTGTCAAGGAGAAAGCCCAGTAGCGCTTCAGGGTGTATCAAAATTAATCAAAAAATGTTGATGTGTTTGCCCAATACCTTTGTTGTTTTGAGGGCCGTGCTGGCACTCTGGCTTCATAGACTGCTGTGGGGTAGAAGAAGGTCCCTGTGGGAGGTGGGACGGCAGATTCTGAGTGGGGACGGGCACTGCTCCAGGGAAGTCCCACTGGAGAAGTGAGACTGGAGTTGCCAGGGTTTCCGCCAGCTAAAGGCTGCCCCCTGCACAGACCTAATCCAGGAACATTGCTCAGACGAAAGGCCAAGGCAGAGTGGCTAAAGGTTCGGAAATTTTGTCTCTTGCCTCCCTTGCAGGCCATTTTTGCCTAATAACTCTGCTTTTTTTTCCCTTCCAAATTGAGAGAAAGAAAATTATGTAAGTGTCTTTTAAATCAGTGTGCCGGAAGCATGCCTGGTTAAAATACATGTTTCTGGCCTCCATAGTTTGGTCCGAGGGCAAGAGGAGGACCCTTTGAGCACATTGCCTGTCTTTCTAAAGCTCTCTTTGGGGTCCTGTCCCTTGGCTGTCACAGCAGCCCCACTAGTTAGTATCATCCATTATCATTCTTATTATTAACACGAAGGCAAGGAGGGTGGCTGGAACGGGCAGCCTCTAAAAATGTTCCCAGTGGAGTCACACCCGTGCAGGAGTCTTCTTCTTCAGTATGAGCTGGACCTCGTTCCTCACTTCTCATGCATAGGGTATGGTAAGAATCATGCCTGTCCCGTCTGAGGTGAGGCTGCATGAAGGCCAGGCTCTGGTATTGGTGCTTTCTGGCTCTCTATCTAGGATCATGAGCTGCCATGTTGTGAGCCCTCTGAGGCTGCCTGCGGGGAAATCCCATCTGGAGGAAGCGAGGCCCCCAAGACCTGGCAGGGGCCCAGAGCATGAGCTTGGAAGTAGATTTCCCATCTCAGGTAAAGCCCAGCCTTTTTGCAATCAACTTCATGTAAAGCTTTGAGCCACAGGTGCCCAGCTAAGCTGCTCCTGGACTCCTGACCCACAGTGAGGGGAACAGTGAGATCATAAATATTTCACTAGGTCTGGGTATCGTCTGTCCACAGATCAAAAACTTGTCTACTGTCACTACCATTTTGTCTCTGGAGCTGATGTCCCTTTTAAAAAACAGTTAAAGTTGACGCTAGGGTATTGAAATAATTTCATTCTTTCCTCTTGTAACTGTCTAAAGTGAGTAACAATGCTAACTGCAGCCTCCACCATTACCGCCTCTGTCAGGGTCCCAGCCTTCTTGCTTGCTGACCTGCAGACCCTGCCATTCCTCTGCAGAACCCCCTTGTCCATTGTCATTGCCCAGTACCAGCCTTGTGGCCTAGCTGGCCACGTCTGCATCTTGCCAGCTGGTCAGATGTCTTGTGTGTGATATCTGCAAGATTACTGTGAACTTGGAGCCCACAGACAACAGAGTTCTAAGAAGCAGGACTGAGGTGTGGAGGCGGGCAGAGGTTGTATGGGAGGTGACTGCAGAGTCCTGGTCACACAGCTCGTTATGGGGAGGAAACCAACATTGTGCAGGGCTTCTGGGTTCTGGGAAGGTCTTTGTTGCCTAGGGGTTTGCCCTGGCTGTAGCTGGGAAACACATGACCCACGTTCCAGTGAGACCGCTGCCTTTCCTTGTAGCACTGTGCTCCTGGGAACACTGGTTGCCCAGGACCAGGTGCCCCTTCCTCTCCTCACATTTCTATAGTCTTCTTCTCACCCCTTCTCTCAATGTGCTTCTTCAGGCCCCTGACACTTTTCGCTCCATTCTTATCTTTCACGTGAATTTATCCCTTTACTGTCTGTCCCATTAGCCAGGGGAATCTTTCCTCTCATAAACAAATCCCCTACTCCAGGAATTCTGCCTACTTTGAGGTTTCTTTCAGACAGTCTAATGTTGAACAATAAAACAGTTTGGGGTCTAAGTTCTTCACTTATTTTGTCAACACATGTTTAAAAAAGTAACACTTCTGGTGGCCATTGCTTCTTAGATGACTAGACATTGTAATATCAAATGGCCAAAGGCACACACACTCACATACAGGAATTTAACACCTTAAATGCATGAATTTAGAATGAAAGAGAGCTTTCTAAATTGAATAAACATTTCTATGAAAAACTCCCTATAGTCTTTCTTTCCTTTCTCCTTCCCACAGCCCCCTTGGTGTGGTTTCACGGTTTGGCTTTGGAAAGCCTTTTACTCTTTTTTTTTTTTTTTTTTTTTTT